CTTGCCTACTCTTCTTGTACTTTCCTGCGGGTTAATACTGCGCCTGCGTTTGCGTGTGGGTTCTTGCCAGCGCTGCTCGGGCTGTGGCTCCCACATGTACCCGCTCTCCTCCTCCACCTCTCCCCACGCTGCCACCACCAACCGCTGCCAAAATGGACGCGCAAACCACAAGTAAAATAGCACTAGCTCGCCCACTTCACGTGGGACGTAGCGGTGGATTATTTTACTGTGCCCACTCTGTGCAATATTTTTGTGGTAAGTGGTAACAAAAACAAGTGCGCCATCTTCGATAAAAATTCCGCGACGATTCCCCTGTGCATTATTTTGAAAACGGATCGTCAGTAACTCACTACCACGCGGCGGCGCACCTCCCGTCATATGCACAAGTACTGCAAGTGCGTGGCGGGCTTCTCGCACTGCTCTGCCGTATGCCTGGATGCGCGCCTTCACCCACACCAGCCTGCCACCCTCCGCCATAGCCACACGCGACGCCGCAGCATCAGCAAACGCGTGCCGCAACGTCTTCTCCTGCTGGATACGCTCAATTAGCCAGCGCTTGGGGTCCCCTACACTAGTAGCCTGGTGGTTGCGTGGGTCCTCCATAAAACTCCAACCTACCTGCTGCGCAGCAGCATTGTCCACCAGCTTGTCCCAGTAAATAGCGGGACACGGCGTCGTCCCGGGCATCACCTCGCCCTCGGCGTCTAACTGCAATAGCAGCAGTTGTTTCAGCATGTCCTGTCGCGTGCTGGCAATCATGCCATGCACCATAATCCGTAGCTGCGCCATGCTGAACTGGATCTGCCCATACAACAACGTGTCGCCCACCCAGTCCACTACGCCCTCGGCATTCGTCGTGTACCGGATCTTGAAGCCAAATGCCCGCAGCCGCAAAATGGCGTCCATGGGCGTGGGCCGGCCGTTGTAGTCGGTCAGCGCCATGAACCGGTGGCACATGTCCTGCACCAGCTCAAAATGCGTACCAGCTATGGTGCTAGCGGTCTCTTCACTGTACCCCCCAGC